AGTCAAATCAGATACATTGAAGATTGGACCAAAATTAGAAATTGCAAGAATTCCTAATTTATAAGAATGCCTTAATAAACTGCATGATTTAAAATTAATCTGATTTTTCTTTCATTCAATTTTTTTGAAAACAGCTACAAGGAACTTATGGATTCAACATAATCATACCTTATGAACAAAATATGAAACTTTTAGAATTTCCTATTATCCTATTCTTCAAGATTTAGCATTTCTATTCCTATGATTTCTTTTTCTTATTCCTTCACTGTGACTGCTATTTTCACGCGTTGATTGCCACATCACCAAAATTTTTTATATTTCGCTAATGCTAAAGTCCCAAAAACTTACTGTCGCTATCTGCGCTGCAGCTTCAAAATCTTATGAAAGCTTGTTGATGTTAATCGCTTATACGGTACCGGATTTCAGCTAATACCATAAACTCTTACAATCTTGAACTCCCTTACAGCCCTTTAATTTGCAACAGTCCCAAGAATTTCTTTTAAAATCCACTGATTTGTTAAGGATCTGAAGCCCCTTTGCCGCTTATTTCTATAATCGCTACTTTGTTGCCTCCTATACTCCTTTTATAAATAAATTCATTTGAAATTAAGAAACATAAAGCTAGTTCCCTACTGTTTATATGATGAGAAAATCGGAACTTATAGTTCTAGGATCCAGAAGATTTCTATGAATTCTATTTTAGATTCTTTGCGGGCTATAAATAGAACCCTTAAGATATGTAAAATTTTTATAAATTATGGTCTAAGCAAATATAATGTAACCATCCGGAATACCTACATTTCGAAAGAGACACAACCTAGTTACATTTTTAAATGGATTAATAATTTTGAGTACTTCTTTAAAGAATACAATTTGTTTAAATCTAAAAAAGTTAAACTTATTGGCATAATCTTGCAAGCAAAATACAAACAACATAGGATGACATTATACATAGACTTGGAGTCTTATTGCCCACTAGGTTAACAATGTCATCTAAACTCTTTTGGAGTCATATCGGGTCCATTGGAAAACGTCAAGTGATGCCTAATGAAGAATGGGTGTAAGGGACAGCACTCTACAAGAAGAAAACACCATTACGATTTGTTGAATAGTGCAGGAAGAAAACAGGACAGCCAGCTACAAGAATGATTTAAGTGATCTAGGCATTTGGAATGGTTGCTGAGGCTTGGACAGCACCTAGATCAAAGGTTAGACCCACTTAAGTGCCACCAAACAGTGCAGGAAATGAAAGGGCTGTAAGCTAAAAGGATAGACTAAGTTATCTAGGCAGATAGGTTGGACTCTGGAACGTGGACAGCAAGTGAATACTACCTAAAACTCTCCCAAACGGATGCTAATAGGTGCAGGAATAAAGTGGACAGCAATTTCAGCAAAGGGTTAAGTAACCTAAGTGTTTTGGTAAGGTCTTACGGTGAAGACAGTACCTAAACAGTGACGAAAAGTTCTCTAAACGATGTCTAACAGTTGCTGGAATGGTGCGGAAAACAGCTACAAACAAAGGTTTAGTTTCCCTAAGCAATTAGTAACAATGTAAGTCCAATGGCTGCACTCACACTCTAGCTAGGACGACTTAAATGCCAATGTATGAGTGCAGGAAATGCAATTACAGCAGTGAAAACAGTGAAAAAATTCTAACAATGCAATTATACGCATGCAAGTTTTAAGCTATAATGAAAAGGCTAGACCCTAGGATGTTTTTCCACACATGTCGTGCATGCCTACCATGCTCTGATACCAAGATGATGTGAAACGAACAGGAGTTACTTAGCAAATTAATGATAGCGAATTAACAAAGTGTTTCCACAATAAATTTATTACTTATAACAATGATTGATCCTTAGAATTCTTGGTTTTTAACTTGCTTAGGCAAAGAAGAGCAAAGCTGATTCCCAAACAATTCAAGAAAATGCAAAGAGCAATTGTAAAACTACGACGATACACAAGAATCCATGATTTAATAATGAGAACTTTCACCTTTGGAGCCCATACGCTCAACTAGTCTAGGTTTTAGCGGAAGAAGAGTCTCCACATTAGAACCGAGGTCACTCTGAGGAAGAAGGAGCCTAAGATCGTCGTTCTTGGATAGGTGGCCGGAGTGGTGGAGGATGACGGTCGTCCAATGATGATCCAACATCCCTTTGATCTTTGCTCGTCGATCACATCAACTAATGTGTAATGGATACGGTCGATGTAATCTTCAATAGTGTCGTCAAAATCAAAGCCCACGTCAAAGAACGGTGATTGGAGGATGTCAACTTGATCTCGATCGTCATGTACGAATCCAAAATTCCATTCGGGTTCCGCCATGCATCCTTGTCGGGCGGGAAGATGCACAAAAGAAGTGGGAAAAGAGAGGAAGAAGATGGCGGGTTGGTGGAGGAAGGTGGGATTGGCTTGGGCCCTTGAGAAGTTTGAGTGGAGAAAGGCTCCAAAGGAAAATAAAACTGAAAAATCTGAAGTTGTTGACCACCATCCGAGAGGGGTAGGCGGCAGGATGAAGCTGTTGGGCTGGCCAGCGAGAGGCTGGCCGGCGGGTGGCTGGCTGCTGGCCGGCGGGTGGCTGAGTTGCTGGCCGGCGGGAGGCTGCAGCTAAGGGGGCCGGCGGCTTTGGGCTGCTTGGAATAGGCGGCAGCAAGAGCAAAGGGAGGAAGAGGTAGGAAAAAAAATCTAGGGATTCAAAGAGTGAATTCCAATCTTCCACAATTGCTTCCACCCAAACCTTCGTGACGACGACGAGATCAAGAGGAATAAGGAAAATAGAAGAACAAGAAAAACCTAGAACTCACAAAGAGATCTAGCTTCTCCTACGAACTCACTAAGAGATCGTGGAGGTTTGCACTCACAGAGAGAATATGAAATGTCAAATATTCATTCATTCAAAAACTACTATTACATGAGAAAAGGGTCATATATATAGGACTCAAATGACAAAGAAAACAAAAGACTAAAATGTCCCTTGGGCTACAATAACGACTAAATACCCATGAGGGCAAAAGCGAAAAACATAAAAAATAAAATAAACTACTACATAAAATGACAAAAAATACAGCTCATGATCGTGGCTGTCGATCTCTGGCGTCTCATAATGGTACATGTGTCGAAGTTGCTGACGATGTCCTCATCAGATTTACTATTACAATTGAACTTTATTTTATGTAGAGCCTAAATATGCACTTTGCATTAGTAGATGTTTTTGTATCTACATCTGAACAATAGCCAGAGTTAAACTTTGAAATTGAGTTCGAGTCTAAGACTTCATTTAGGATGACTTTCTTACTGACTAAAAAGCTGCTTTAAGAAGCAATAAAAAAATAGTCACAAACAAAACCTAAATCTAAATATATGCATGTAATTTTGAAACTCATTATAGTCACATTATATTTGTATAGAATCATAGACTACCCAATTTTTATTAAAATTGCATCATTAACTATTTTTTAATAGACCAAGTTACTATGTCCTACTTTCAACCGATATGATGATGCATCCTTAAGTTTTGAAACTAATTGAATGAAGGATGTCTTAGGATCACACAAAATAGATTTGGGATTCACAATTTCAAATACCACCAAAAAAAAAATCCATTTCTTCTGATATAAACTTGAAAATACAAGAAATTTAAGCCGAATGATAATCAAATTGGTTATATCAAAGAAATCAGCAGGAAATTTAAAGCCAGCAAAATTCACAGTGCCGTTAGAATTAGTACCACAATTGAAAAACAAATTTATATTAGAGTTGATTGAAATTAGGAACACTCGCAAAAATTGATATTGAATTATTTAGAAGAAAAAGAACAAGGAAACAGGCATTCTCATCTCAATAGAAGATAACTTCGCCGGAAAAGTTGATTATCGTACTTGCACTGCACTTCAAGAAATCCAGCATCCAACATGCATATAAGATTAAAAGAAAACCTAAAACTTATTAAGCCAAAAGTAAACTTTGAAAGCCTCAGTTCGTTGTATTTATAAACATCAAGTCAGCTGCCTCTCAAATTTTGATCAGTTCTCATATCTGGCAGAGTAACAGAAGGTGGAAATCACCAGTTTTTTATCTTCAAATTAGCTGAAAGTACGCAGGCTATAGGCGCTGAATTCAAATCCATGACACTCAAGAACTAAAACTGTCAAATACACTCATTATAATGCACAAGACACTCATTACAATCATTAAATTCCTTGAATTGCTTACCGGACACAATATTTAAAAAAAAAAAACCCACAAATTCCAATACTACTGACTTGTTCAAACCTTAACCAGGCGGAAAACTGAAGAAGTCAGACCATTTAAAACAAATCAGATGAAAGGACATCCAAAATAGAAACATCACATATGCATGAAATTCTCATAAACATGTTATTACATTCATGTTTTAAGCTACAAAATAAAATAAAACAAATAGTCAGAAAAATCATCAAACTACTAATTTACTTGCCGTAGAGTAGTTGCAAACCAAACTTGCCTTGTGACACATAAACCCTAAAATATCCATCAAATACAATAATCCCCCTACCCGAACCTTGACTAAAAAACATGAGAAGGGTTTTGCGGGGATTATTTCTGTGATTTCTAGAGTAAGGCAATGTAAAAGAAGAAAAAATTTTTATGATGTAATTTTTGACTTATCAAGCATCTCTTTTCAGTCTGATTCCATCTTATAATTCCCTTAATCCAGTATTTTTTAAACCAGATAATGAATTTTTGGAGCATCAAAAATCTGTGTTCGTTTAATCTCAGCTTTCTTCTTAAATTTTTTTTTTACTTCAATCTTAACTTATCCAATTGCTGTTGATAATGATACAGTGGGTACTTGAATGAATCAGGTAATAATACTTCAGCGGAAATAAAGCAATCAATACACATTCAAGAAACAAAATATTAAGATATTTCCATGAATTTTGATGAGAAGAGAAAATAACCTTTGAAATAATTTTGAATAATCTGGTCTTACTTCTTCTAATTTAGAATAGACTTACTTTCAGCACCACGAAGAGCAGCAGCAGTATCTGTTGTGAAGAAAGGATTGCCAGTTCCAGCAGCAAAGATAACAACTCTTCCTTTCTCTAAATGCCTAACAGCTCTTCTTCTTATGTATGGCTCAGCAACTTCTGACATACGAAATGCTGTCTGGACACGTGTTGGAATACCAATGCTCTCCATTGTTGCTTGCAAGAATATTGCATTCATGACTGTTGCAAGCATGCTGAACCACAAAAACAAGCTTTAGCAACTATCAAACTAATAATCGACTGATAGGAAGTGCTTGTATTCACAATCAACCTATCCAAAATCGGCGAACCAACAGCAGCCAAATGGCTGTCTACAGCAGGAAAACAGCAGATTTCTGCTGTTTACAGCAGGAAAACAGCACTTGTCCGGGAAAATACGAGAGAAAAGATGCCCTAATTAGATTTTTTTGTTTTTAATTGATCATCTAGGACAATTTGTGATTATCCCGGACGATATGATTAAAAATAAAAAAATTCTAAAACACAGAGAATTTTTCCTCTTGAGTGTGTGTGTGCAAAGTTACTTAGTATTAGTACCCACTTTAGTATATTTGACTCAAGAAAAGATAAAAATACTTGACGTACACTTAGAAATTGACTTAGTCCTAATCTACCCAATCTTAAGCTGGCTTGATTTTCAATTGACCTTTTGGATCTGAAAAGTTAGTAGGTAAGACAGTTGTAGAAAAGTAGAAGTGTCAGAAATATTTACTATCATCAAAATTATAATCCCTGAATCTAGATTTATAACAATATCTCCCTTTTTGATGATGGAAAACATTTGGTAGAAAGTTTAACTTAAGTAGTTAATTTAAATATAATGTGAAGGAAAATAGATGGTATAAATACTAAACAAAAGTAGTACAAAAAATAAAATAAACACTACCACTACTCCACATTTGGACATCACAAAAAGGACGAAACCAAAAAAAAAAGAACAAAAAATACAAAAAAGAAATAAATAAAAGAAAACACACTAAAAATGACAAAAAGAACAAAGTTTTTTGTGTGATCAAAGCACGAATATGATAAATTTTTCATGTGATTGAATTAAAATTTGTAAGAAAAATGAGTTAACATCATTGAAATTCAAAAAATAGTAGAGCATCCGATCATGTTAACCCTAGCTTGGACTTCTTACAGGGCAAATCATTATTTGAATATAAAAATCGAACACAAAAAAATCAATCGAATAAAAAAAAGTTACATGTTCAAAACTTGATTCTAGAAAAATATCTTATAGAATAATATACTAAATTAATTAGTCACAATAATGATTTTTAAAATCAAGCCTTTAAAAATATCAAGTGACACATGAATTCCTCTAAGATTTTAAGGTTTAAAAGAGAATAAAGCTTGCTTTCATGTGGGCTCATTTTGTGCTTCTTGTCAATTGGTTTGCGCACTTTGTGCTTCTTTTGATTTTTGATACACTTTATATATATTTCAATTTTTTAGCAATTATTGCATATCTTTTCATTTTTTCTTCTTTTTTGGCTCATTTTATACCTCTTGTCATTTTTGCAAGCTAGATCTCTTTTGAAACTTTTAAATACTCTCTATTATGAGAATATCTTCTAGATTTTAGAGAATAAAAACCCACTCTCTAATATAAGGAAGAGTAAACTACAAAGCAGAATGAAATTCATAATATAAATGAAACGACAAGGTTATGATAGCTTGAAAGTGATTTAATGATTTTGAATATTATTTATATAAGATAGATTATTGTAGCAAGATAGAAAAGATCTCATTTGCAAAGTCTAGTTGTTAATTTGAGATAGATTTTTATTTAGAAAAGAAAATTGCACCACTAAAAGAAGTTAGAGGAATGAAAATAATCAACAGTATTTAAATAAAACATTGACTACAAATTTTAAAAAATAAAAATAAGGTATAAAATATCATTTTAGTAGTGACAAAAAAGAAAAACTAAAAGAAAAATAAGAACATAAAAAATGAAATACTAAAAAGCAACAATAAATAATAATTAAAAACTAAAAATAAGTAAAGTCATACATAAAAGATAGAATAAAAAACAACAACAAATTAGAAAAACATAAAAAATAGAGTTTAGAAAGCATCAAGTTCATGCATTTATGTCAATCACACCTAATTTGATCCTTAAGATGCTGAATGTGTCAAAGGTCAGTGGTTTAGTAAAGATGTCAGCCATTTGATTCTTAGTTTCCACATGGTGTAACTAAATATCTCATTTGGTAATATGGTCCCTAATAAAATGATGACTTATGTCAATGTGTTTGGCCCTTGAATGTTAGATAAGATTCTTAGAGATATAGATGGCAGTAGTGTTGTCACATAAGATTGAAATTGTGCATACAGATAATCCTAAATCAAGACTTTGTTGCTTTAACCAAATGAATTGGGCCACATAACTTCCTAGGACAATGTACTCAACTTCAGTAGTAAAAAGTGCAACAGAGTTTTATTTTCTATTAGACTAGGAGACTAAGTACTGTCCTATAAATTAAAAAGTACTAGAAGTGCTCTTTCTACCATCATACACACTACAAAATTAGAATCATAATATCTAATAATCTTAATAGAAGTGTTGTGCCTAGGATATCGGATTCCTAAGTTTTGGGTCCCTAAGAAATATTTAAGGATTGTCTTAACTACAATCAGGTGGGATTCTTTAGGATCATGTTGAAATCTTGCTCAGAGGCAAACACTAAATACTATATCAGGTCAGCTAGTAGTCAAGTAAAGCAATGATCATGGGAGTATTTATTAGGTTGGCTTTATCCATTTCATATTTCTTTAAGATGTCCTTAACACACATTGATCGATTTAAAAAGATTCCATCATCCAATTTTCTTATGTTAAAATCCAAAAAAGTAGGATAACTTTCATCATACTCATCTCAAATTTTGCACTCATTATTTAAAAAATCACATAAGCTTTTATAATAAGATCTAAAAAATATATCATCAACATAGATCTAAATAATGAGTAACTCATCTCCTACTTTTCTTAAAAATATATCAGTGTCTACGTTCCCCTTAACAAACTCCCTCTCTAATAGGAATGTGCTAACCCTCTCATACTAAGCACTAGGTGCCTATTTTAATTCGTATAAGGCCTTTCTTTAATTTGTAAATAAGATTTGGAAATTGGGAAGTCTTAAAACCTAGGGGTTGCTCTACAAACACATTCTCTTTTATTATCCCATTTAAAAAGTCACTCTTGAAGTCCATTTGAAAAAGCTTAAATCCGTTATAACAAACAAAGGCTAATAACACTCTAATAACTTCTAATCTAGCTAGAGGGGCAAAGGTCTCCTCAAAATAAATTCCTTCTATTTGGTTGTACGTCTTAGCCACCAATTTCACCTTATTCCTAACCACCACACCAGAATCATTCATTTTATTCTCAAAGACCCATTTGGTTTCCACTACACTTTGATTCTTAAGTCTTTCTACTAACTCCCAAATATTATTCCTCACAAATTGATTAAGTTTTTCTTATATAGCTAAGATCCAAAATTCATTCAAAAGGGATTGATTGATGTTGGTGGGTTTAGTCATTAAGATAACGACTGAGTGGTTCACTTCCTTCTTAATTCCATGCCTAGTTTTAACACCTTCAGAAGGGTTTTCTAAGATCAATTCTTTAGGACGACTCAAAGAATATCTCCAATCTCTAGGCAAAGTGTGTCTAGGTCTACCCTTTCCTCCAGATTTGCATTTTTTACTCCTTGGGTAATCTCACCTACTCCTTCAGTATTTTGAGGCCTACCCTTCTCTCCAAATTTTTAACTTCTTGGGTAATCTCTCCAACTTCATCTTCTTCCTCAACTAGACTTCTTAGGAATAGATTCATCAAACACTACATGAGTATTGTTCTCCACTACCAATTTCCTCTTGTTAAACACCCTAAAGGATTTCCCCATACTTGAATATCTTAAGAACACTCCTTCATCAGATTTTGGGTCAAATTTTTCTAAGGGTGACTTTCCATAATTAAGAATGAAAACATTATAGCCAAATGCATGGAGGTGGGAAAGGTTGGGTATCCTACCCTTAATGATCTCATAGGATGTCTTATCTAGTTTCGCTCTAACATTTATCCTATTCAACACATAACAAGCTGTATTTACCACTTCAGCTCAAAAGTATTTTAGAAGTAAATACTTAGTAAGTATGGCTCTAGCGACTTCAACTAGGTTCTTATTCTTCCTTTCAGCTAGACCATTCTACTGAGGGGTCCTAGGAGGTGAGAAGTTGTTATTAATCTCTTTATCCTCATAAAAGTCTCTAAATCTCTCATTTTCAAACTCTCCACCATGGTCACTATGAATGGTCAAGATCTTATAACCTAGATTTTTCTGAATCCAAGTGGAGAAGGATCTAAACTCATCAAAAGACTCACTCTTATATGATACAAATTTAATCTAAGTGAACCTCGAGTAGTCATCGAAAATCATAAATCCATAGACTTTTTCCCCTAAGTTGGTAGTGCTAATGGGTCCAAATAAATCCATGTGAAGGACTTTTAAAGGTCTAGAAGTGCTAATATCTTTAATGGAATGAAAAGAGGACTGAACTTGCTTTTTAAGTTGACAGGCATGACAAAGGTGGTATTTAGTAAACCTAAGCTTGGGGACACCTTTAACTAGGTCTTTTTGGGTCACTCTCCTAAGGGTTTTTATACTGGCATGACATATACCACAATCAAGACTCATCAGTTATAATTTTTAAGTAAAATGAAGCAACACATTTAATGTTATTTAAATCAAGTATGTAGATGTTGTTAATCCTTTTTTCCGACAAAATAGTATTATTATTCAAGTTAATGATGCATGTATTTGCCAAAAATTTTATAATAAAGCCCTTATTACAAAGCTGACTGATATTGAGCAAATTGTGTTTCAAGTCATCTACAAGCAAAATATTTTCAATCAAAAGGTTCTTGGAGTTTTCGATTATACCTATACCCACGACTTTCTTGGTGGTGTTCTCTCCAAGACTGACCCGCCTCCAGCCCTGGCCTCCAATGAAATGAATTGATTGGCATCTCCAGTCATGTGTTATGAGCATCCGATGTCTAAGTACCACATGCTCTCCCAAGGTCTTTTGTGAGAGCACTCCTATAAAATCATCAAACGTTAGATTTAGGAACCCAAATAAGTTTGGGTCCCTTCTTAAGGAAAGAAGAATGCAATGCATGTGTAT